AACGTTGCTGAGTTCGAGATGAGCCTGGGCTACAAAGTGAGCTCAAGGCCAGTCTGTACTGCACAGAGAGACGCTGTCTCAAAAAGACAAAAACAAAACAAACAAGTTGAGCACCCGTTGTCAATCCACCACAGATGTGTTGGGTACATGTACCAACTTCCCACGCGGAACGAGAACTTTATGGACTACAATCACGTACTAATAAAAAAGATACTGGTGCCGTTAGGCTTTTCTTTTTTTTTCATTAGAATGAGTTTATTTTTCTTTGAGTTGTCTGTGTCCTTCGCTAATTTTCCTACGAGGCTGTTCACCCTAGTTCCTCTGCTTACACGCCTACCAGTCCGGGAGCTCTGGGAGGCGAAGGATTGAACCCCCACTTCTAGGGGCTGGGGATTTAGCTCAGCGGCAAAGCGCCTGCCTGGCAAGCGCAAGGTCGTGAGTTCGGTTCCCGGTACCGGAGAAAAACAAAAACAAACAAAAAAAAAAGAACCCCCACTTCTTCATCCCCAGCCCATCTCAGAACTTCCTCCCATCCTCATCGAAGAGCCCTGGGCCTGAGGCAAGCTAGGCAAGGACTCTACCCGCCACCATTAGGGAGCAGTTATCTGCAGTCTCACAACTGCTAAATGGCAGAATCGGGATGTAATCCAGCTGCTTTGAACTTTTAATTATTTTATTTAGGTTTTTTGAGACAAGGTCTCATTATATAATTTAGCCGACCTCAAACGCACAGTGATTCTCCTGCCTCAGCCTCGCGAGTGCTGGGATTACAGGCGTGCGCCACCATGTTTGCCAACCCCCCTGACTTTAAAACAGTGCTTTCCTGATGCTATCTTTCACTCCTTTGAGAGAGATTTGCTTGAGCCTTGTGTTCCCAGGGTATCAACTGAACAGCACTTTTAAGCGAATTAATACGTGGCTGGCAATCCCAGCAGATGTCTTCGTCCCTTCCTTTTCCCACTGTAGGCGAAGACTCCGCCTCGCTTTCTTCCGCTTTGCGTCTCTTTTGGCTCCGGTGACGCACCGTCGCAGGGGCGGAGGCCTCAGATAGTTGAGATGATGGCGTCGGTGACGCCGGATTCGCAGGCCCGATTTGGTCAGTCAGTGAAGGGGCTCCTCACGGAGAAGGTCAACACCTGTGGAACCGACGTGATCGCACTTACCAAGCAGGTGCTGAAGGGCTCGCGGAGCTCCGAGGTGAGCACGCCGGGGCCGCGGCCCCCAGGCAGTGGGGCGGGTATCGGGGTGCATGCTGGGAGTGTAGGCCTCGACCGGGTCTCAGAGCCTCGTTCGCGGCGCGCGCGATGCCTTCTGGGGTTTGTAGTCTCTGGCTTGGTTAGGCTGGGCAGTGGAGGCGACGCGATGAGAATCTGCTTCTGTTATTGCGGTGCTGGGGACTGAATCTACACTGAGCTCCATCCCCAGCTCCTTGTTTGTTTGTTTATTCATTCATTCACTCATTTTTTATTTTACTCATTTATTTTTTATTTTGAGACAGGGTTTCGCAGTGTTGTCCCGGCTGGGCTCGAACTTGCCGTCCTCATGGCTCAGCCTCCCAAGTGCTAGGGATCGATCTGCTTTAAAACAGTTACAGGGTAGCGGATGAGGTGACGTTCCTAATCAATCCCTTTATTGGTTCTCGGGGTTGTCTCTAGTGAAGATCGGCCTTAGCCCTGAAATTCTGCATGGCTTTGCCTTCAGCAGCCCAATTTTTTTTCACACTTTTGTGTGTATCACTTGTTTATGGATTGATTCTTTCTTTATTTTTTTATTTTTTGTCTTTTTGAGAGAGGGTCTCGCTATGCAGTTCAGGCTGGTCTTGAACTCGCTTTGCAACCCATGCTGGCCTCGAACTCACAAGATCTTCCTGCCTCAGCCTCCGGAATGTTGAGATTACAGGCGTGCGCCACCACACCTGGTGCCTTCCTTTTTTTTTTTTTGAGGCAGGGCTCGCTGTGGTTAACGCTGGCCTTGAGCTTACTATGTAGCCAGCCCAGGCTGGCCTCAAACTTGAACTCTCATGATCCTCCTGCCTGAGCCTCCCAAGTGCTGGGAATACAGGTTGCGCCACCACTCCTTGCTGTATTTTTGCCTTCTTTTAAGTGAAACATCTTGAACTATATTCAGAGAATCTGAGCACAGTCTTTTAAGATTTCCATGAATTTCCCCTGCAGGCTGTTACATTATCTTGCTCGTAATTAACTCAGCAGGACCTGTTTTAGCTACTCTTCAACAAGTACTTTTAGCTTTCAAGTTTTCATAGTAATAGCAACTCTCTATCTAGCTCATATTTAATTATTTTCCATGTTATTTCATTAAACTGTGTAATTGTAGTAATAGCATAAAATGTCCTGGGGGCTTTGGTATGTATATGAATGTTCACAACAGTTTACCTCTTATTAGTTTAGGTCCCAGAAGACTATTCTGTGCAGAATTAGTTCTTATGTCATGTCCATAGCTTTTGTTGACAGGGGTTATGAAAAGAAAAAGCCTAAAAGCCTGACTAGATGAGAAAGTATTCCCACTTACTGCAGTATATGACGTCATTGTCAACTCACTGACTTGTTTTACAGTATGCTCTATGTGGGGTTCCCTCAGATGCATTCTTTTGGGGCTGGGGACATAGCTCAGCGGCACAGCACCTGCCTGGCAACAGCAAGGCCCTGAGTTCAATTCCTGGTACCAAAACAAAACAACACAAAACAATATATATATAGGGTTCAGTATCAGAGGAAAGTTAAGAATTATTATGTTGCCTTTTACCAACTAACAAAAGTCATGTAATTCATTTTGTGTTTTTTGAGACAGGGTCTCACTGTGCAGTTCAGGCTGGCCTTGAGCTCACTTTGTAGCCCAGGCTGGTCTCAAACTTGCAACAATCCTCCTGGATCCTCCTGCCTCAGCCTCCCGAGTTCTGGGATTACAGGCATGCAAAAGTCGTGTAATTCATTGTGTTTCACCTTTTCCTTGGTTGCGCAGTGTTCCTGTCAGTTTTGGTAGTAACCATGTTTATTTCCTGCTCCTTTTCATGACTTTTAAATTTGACATAGTGTGATAAAAAAATACAGTGAATATTTAAATTTTAAGTTTAATATAAAAAAAGAAAAAATTTATTACCTTAAAAGGCCTGTGACCATTAATTTTCCTCAGAACACTTCCCCTCATTTCAAACACACTGATCCCGTCATTCTTGCCACTTCCTGAAGCTGTTCTGAAGTCCTCGTGCATGAGTTCTTCTGTTGCTCTGTGTGGCTGTGTCCCTGTCCTGAATACCGCTTCAAAACGTTGACCTTTCCTCGTCTTTTTTAGTTGCGGGGAGCGCCAGAGGCCGCGCAGGGCAGACTTGGTGAATAGGGGGCGAGGACGCACTGTAATGCTTTACCCTGCTGTCTCATTGGATGACAGGTGGCAGCAACATTCGCTGTATTTTTTGATCACACCTCATAAAAACAGTCACAAGGAAGGACTTCCAGAACTGCTTCGGCAAGCGGCCTGGATGAGGAGATACACGTGTTAAAGGTGAGGGAGAGCCAGGCATGGTGGTGCACGCCTGTGCTGCCAGAACTCTGGAGGCTGAGGCAGGAGGATCACTGTGAGTTTGAGGCCAGCTGGAGCTACATAGTGAATTAAAGACCAGCCTGAACTACGTGGTGAGATCCCGTCTCAAACAGGCAAAAACCCAAAAAACAAAGTGAAGGAGAATACTTTAAGGGGGATTAATGGCAGTGTGTCTCTTACTACGATAAATTTTATTTAACATTCATACATTTCAATCACGCCTGATATTTCTTTTCTGCTTTTAAGTGTGTATGTACACACACATATAGTTTGGTATAAATTGTCTCAAATCCTTTTTTGGGAGAAATGGGATATATAAATATATATAAAAACTCAATGATGTTCATAATCACCAGTTTGTGTTAATCACCAAGTGACAAGAGCTGTGTTTTATGTAGTTTAAATCATTAAGTCTTTTTTGTGTGTGTGGCACTAGGGATCAAACCCAGGGATGCCTTATCGCTGAGCTACATCTGCCGCCTTTTTCTTTTTTTGAAACCCAGTCTTGCTAAGTTACCCAGGTTGCCCTTAAACTTGTGATCGTCCTGCTTCGACCTCCCGAGCAGCGGGAAATGCAGGCGTGTATCACTGCACCTGGGTAAGCCAACAGCTCTGTAATCACCAACAAAAGAGCGCTTTTCTCCTCAGAGCATCTGGAAACCAGGAGTGGCAGCACGTGCCCGCACGCCGGCATTCTGGGAGGCGGAGGCCGGGGACCACAAGTTGGAGCCCAGCCTGGGCAACTTAGCACGATCTGGTCTCAAAATAAAAAATAAAAAGGGCAGGGGATATAGCTCAGTGTGAAGGCCCTGAATTGAACCCCCATGTGGGAAGAATTTAGCTTGTCCAGGGTCACACCTAGCTGGGAAAGGGTGGAGCTGGGGCCAGGCCCAGGGGGACGAGTCCTGGGGATACACTCTGAAATACACCTGTCCTGTGGTGCCGCCCCGAGTGTCTCCAGGCGGCCTGTCCCAGCCTCCCCGCTGGGGGAGGTTACATGAGTGCTCGTGGGGCGCTGTGGATCGCGTTAGCTGAGGCCAGTCCGGCTTTCGGGCCAGCACGGACGCACCGGCTGGCACGTTCCGGGACGAGGACTGCCCCCGCTCTCTGATGTGTGGCTTACGCTGCACCGCCGCCTTCTTCCGAAGCTCAGCGCGTTTCCCCCCCTGCCCTAGCCTGTGGGGGTGTCGAGTCCCACGGCATTTTAATCCCCGGTGGCCTGCAGAGCCTGGCTCCCCAGCAGTCCCCCGGGGCTGTGCTGCTTCATTACGGGACACCGTGCACGTGTACCCACCGTTCCCCAGCCTTCACTTAACAAGTACTTATAACGGTCTGGTGCGTGCCAGGAAGTGTTCCGGTGGGACAGTGCTAACTCCAGCGAGATCTCTCCACTCAGGGAGCTTCCATTTTTGTGAAGAGACAGACAGAAAGCCCAAAGGGGAAGTGGTAAGCGGTGGTAAAGTCTGTGAAGGAAAGTATCCCTGGAGCATGCGCCGAGGGTTACTCCCGTGGGAGCTCAGGGAAGGGCGGCTGAGGGGGTGCCCACGGTGTGCGGGGAGCGGGAGCCAGCCACGGAGATGTCCGCGCCGGGCAGCCAGGGCAGGAGCCCAGGCCTGGAGGTGAGAGTGCGCGGGGAGCGCCGGGGGCCAGCGGGCCGGGGGGAGCGCAGGAGAAGCACCCCGCCCCGGCCGGCTGCAGCATTGCTGGTGACTGCGGGCTGCTCCCCGCCTCCGTGGGAGCTGTGAGCCGGGTGAGGGTGCGCTGTGCTTTCTCCTGGTCGCGGTGTGGCCTGTGGGAGCCCAGTGCGATAATATGGAAAGTGAGGACAAATGAGGGCTGCTGCGCAGACTAGGGGGAGCAAAGCTGCGTACTGAAGAGGGGCAGCTCAGAAAAACTCCTGAGTAACTTGAGCAAGATGGTGGGGAAGGCCCAGGAGGAAAATTTGTAAGACTTTTTTTTTTTTTTTTTGGTATTAGGAATCCAACTCAGAACCTTGTGCTTGCTAGGCAGGTGCTTGTGCCACTGAGCTAAATCCCTAGCCCTCTTTCCTTTTTTTGAGACAGCGTCTCATTATGCAGTTCAGGCTGGCCTTTGTAGCCCAGGCTGGCCTCGAACTTGCAACGATCCTCCTGCCTCAGCCTCCTGGGTGCTAGGATTACAGGTGTGCGCACCACGCCTGTTTAAATCTGTAAGATTTAAAAAGATTCTATACTCAAATTGTTTTGCAAGTGCATTCAGGATGTCCTGTTGTGAAGGTGAAGCCGTAACCTCAGCTGATAAGCGTGTGGCTGGTAGTTTAAGAGGGCGATGCAGGGCGGCTTGACAGCGCCTGTTGCCAAGCAGGAGACTGTCCCTACCCTGCAGCAGCCCCCCCTCTCCAAGAGCCACAGATCCCATGAAGTCTGTATTCTAAATGTTTCCCGGTCCTCCCCTTCCAGTTTTTGCTTTGTTTTTGTTTTGTTTTTTTGAGACAGCTTCCCTCTGTGTAGTTCAGGGTGACCTTGAACTCAGGATGTAACCCAGGCTGCCCTCGAACGAACTCACGCAGACCCTCCTGCCTCGGCCTCTGCCTCCTGAGTGTAGGGATTACAGGCATGCGCCCATGCCTGGCTCATTACCGCTTCCTGTAGGTTGCTTGCTGGGACTGCTAACAGTGCTCTTCTAACCATATCTCCTCCCTCCCCTGCTCATTTGTTCTGCCCACCACACTTGTGAAATAGTAAATGTAATCACGCTACTTTCCTGTAAATTCACATGTGAGATGAACCTCAACCCTAATCTTCAGGTTTCTGCTCAGACGTCTTCTGTTAGGAAGCCTTTCAAAACACCTGCCCGGTGAGGGCTCAGGTCCGGCACCCCCAGCCCCACATGCTCCCAGAGCACCCAGTGCTTCTCCATCAGCCTTCACCGTGAGGTAGTTTTAGTGCTTCTGTTACCCCTCCCAGATCGTGATCCCCATTATTACTCTTGTCCACAGTACTCCCATATTATTAACAATAAATACTTGTTTCACGAATAATGTAGATCCTGGTAAGACCTTTTCTTTTTCTTTCTTTCTCTGTCTTTTTTTTAGACAGGGTTTTGCTATGCACTACAGGCTGGCCTTGAACTCACTAGGTAGCCCAGGCTGTCCTCAAAGTTGAGGCGATCCTCCTGCCTCAGCCTCCTAAGTGCTGGGATTACAAGCATGTGCCATCATGCATGGCTAAGACCTTTTCTTTCTGGCATTAGTTTGCAGTTATCATCTTCCATCTATAGGAATTTGAATTTTCTACTTAAAAGGTGGCTGCAGGGCATGGGGGTAGAACACTTGGCTGGCATGTACAAGGCCGCTGGGGTTCATGGGGGGTATCCCTGGGGAATAGGAGGGGACTGGCTGTAGGAGAATACTTTTACATATGTTACTGGGATTGCAAAATGGTACAACTCTGATGGAGGGGAATTGGCCGTGTAGCAGAACTGTGTATGTAAGCACAGTTTTGAGTCTATCCCAAAAATATGGCTTGCAAAAATGCAGACGTGTAAGAGTTTTTTGTAGCACTACTTACAGTGGCAAAAGACTAGAAATAACCCAGACTTCCAGCAGAAGATTGGCTGTGATCTCATACATCCATCTTTTGTGGTTCTTGCAGTTGTAAAAGAGCTGTGAGGAGACTCAGTGACTCAAGAAATCAGCCAACCACAAATGCTGGAAGGGCTGCAGGAGAAAGAGGAACCCTTCTCCACTGTTGGTGACAACGTAGACTGGTGCAACCACTGTGGAAATAAGTGTGCAGATTCCTCACAAGGCTAGGATTAGAGGTCCCATGTGACCTACCTGTTCGCCTTCTGGGTATTTTCCCAGAAGTAAAAACATCATACCACAGCAATGTTTGTGCACCCATATTTATAGCAGTGCAATTTGTAGTAGCTAAATCTTGGAAACAACCCAAATGTCCATCAACTGAGGAATGGATAAAAAAGATGTATTTTTATACAATGGAGTACTACTCAGCTATAAAGAAGGATAAACTTGAGCCGTTTATAGGGAAATGGATACAACCTGAGTCCATACTCATAAGTGAAATAAATCAGGCTCATGTGTCAACACCGTATTGTCTCCCTAGTGTAAGAAGGTGAAAGAGTAAACAAGGCTTACAGTGTATACTGGATAGTGTGAAATGGGAAGAAACTGCTCAGAAGGAAAGAGTAACTGGAATGGGGGAAAGGAGAAAAGAAGGAAGAGGAAAGGAAAAATAAATAAAAACACACACACGGTGGTTAAGATAGTTATACTGCTCATTGCTATTAGTTCGTTGAAAAGAAAGGTTTATGCCTATGTTTGATCAATTTTCATTCCTATATCTTGTAATATGAGCAGCTACTTTGAAGATAACAATACATAATGTGCAAACCATTGTTACTCTCCTGCAATCTTCTTTTGAAATTTATACCACTGTTTTTATTGTTTATTTTTCTTTTCTTTAAAATAAAAAAAAATTTTTGAAGCAACAAAAGAAAAAATAAAGTTAAACCAAGAACGTTCGTTCTCTTCCGGCTAGCTGCGGTCTCTTGCCGTCTCTAGTCTCCCCCCACCTCCTCCTCAGGCCTCTCAGACTAGCCCAGTCCCCAAAGAATCAGAGGTCGGGGCTCTCCCTGCGGCCGAAGTTGTCGTGCAGACCGGTGCGGAGCGCTTGATGCGTGAGCAGTGCGGAGCGCCCGCTCCTCGCTCCGCGGTAGCCATGGGGACAGATGCGGTGGGGACAGATGCCAGCCCAGGCCAGGACGGCCCGGGCGCCAGCGAGGGAGGTTTCAACGCGAACAAATGGACTCGCACCCTCCGCTGCGCTTCGAGGCGGTTCGCGCTTGGACAGGGCGGAGGGCGAGGGTCGTGGGCGAAGTCTGCAGGAAGTCTGGGAGTTTTGATTCTCATCATTTTGCTTTGGTCTTCCAGCTGCTAGGTCAGGCAGCTCGAAATATGGTACTGCAGGAGGACGCCATCTTGCACTCGGAAGATGTAAGAAACGATTTCCTTTTTCGTTTGGGGTTTACCTACACGGTTTGCGTGGCTCCAGGGAGCTGAAATGTTTTCCTGTCTTGTGCACAGAGCTTACGGAAAATGGCAATAATCACGACACACCTTCAGTACCAGTGAGTATGCCCTGCCCGCCCCTGCGCTGGAGGGTCACGCCCCAGCCGCCTTCGGGGCTTTGCGCCCCCGCAGCGCACTTTCTCTGGAGGCAGGGAAGAGACGCACGGTGAGGGCTTCTGTGGAAAGATGCCGAGGCCGTAGGAGAAGTCAGGGTCGGGGTGAGAACCGCAGCAGGGGCCGCCTTTTCTGAACCTCCCTGTGTTAAGGGCCCCCCGGAGGGAAGTCCCATTTAGGGCAAGGCCCATGCAAGACCAGCCCTGCGCTGGGCTCAGTCTCTTGTGGGGTGTCTGCCTCTCCCTCGGGGGAGTCAGAGGTAATGGTAACCTTTGTGCCCCTTTTCCACATGTGACGCAGCACACCTACATCGCTGCCATCCAGGGAACTGTGAAATACGGAGAGCTCACCTGCACTGTACTTTTGAATAAAGTTGTAATTTAATTTGCTTCTCATCTCTCTTAATTTTGTTGTATATTTTACATAGTTGATATTATGCTCATGTTTGATTGGAAAGATATAGTTGGGAATTAAAACCCAGATACTTATTTGTTTATTTATTTTTGTGTGTCTTTTTGAGACAGGGTTTCACTATGCAGTTCAGGCTGGCCTCAAACTTGCAGTGATCCTCCCGCCTCAGCCTTCTGAGTGCTGGGATTACAGGCATGTGCCCCTACGCCTGGCTTTAAACCCTGATATTTAAATAGCTAATGTTTTTCTTATTTGTCTTTTGGATGTGTACATAGTAAGTCCGTGATCATTTGGCTCCTTATATTCAGACTAAACAGGAGCCATGGCTGTAGTTGGCTGGGCCACTCCCTCCCTCTGGGGGAGTATTGTTAGCTTTTTAAGTTTGGAAGCTGCTTTTCCTTTCTCTTTTTGGTTTTGTTTTGTTTTTAGCAGTTTTGCTGCTGGAATGGAACCCCTGCTCAGCGGTGCAATCTTAGGACAGGACTGTAGAAACACAGAATGTGACAGAAGCCAGAAATTTGTTCTGCTTATGTCTTTCTGGCCATAAGTAACTTCTGCTTTCCCAGTTTTCTTATGTTTATCTTCCCCTTTCTTTTTCTGATGTAGGCAAGAAGCTATTCAGAAGAAGTAAGTAACCCCCCGGGGAAGCGGGTGGGGAGCCAACTGAAGCAGGCTTGGGGAAATGACGCTGCTGTGCCTGGTCCAGACGACAGAGGCCCTGAAATGGACACGCTCCGGGATATTCACTCAGGATTTAGAGCGCACAGCATGCTTAAAAGCATTTGGTAGCTCAGATTCAGTGCCAGTAAAGGTGCTTTTTAGATAGGGTCTCGCTCTGTAGTTAAGGCCAGCCTTGAATGCATGACGATTCTCCTGCCTCAGCCTCCTATGTGCTGGAATTACAGGTGTGTGCCACCACACCCAGGTCTAATAAAGGTTTTCTAGAAGTTACAGGGTATAGCCATGTATGGTGGTGCACGCCTGTGATGCCAGCACTCTGAAGGCTGAGGCAGGAGGATTGCCATGAGTTTGAGGCCCCCCTGAACTGTATAGTGAGCCCTTGTCTCAAAGAACCAGAAGTTACAGGGTGAAGAAGTTAACCTCAAGGGACAGAAGATGTTTTACATTGGTAATATTCCTTAAGCAGAGTAAAAGTGCTAAAACCGTCGAACAGCCTTGTTGTCTCATGGGGACTGAATTTGTCCCTTGCTCTACCGTTTACATTACTAATTGGCTTGGCAGACCTTTTCATAGTTTCAGCTATTTTTTCTGAGACTGGGTATTGCAGTGTTGCCCAGAGTGACTGTGAACTCCTGTGTTCAAGTTCTCCTGCCTCAGCCTCTGGAGTAGCTGTGACTCCAGCTGTGCACCAGTAGTGCCCTGGGTTCATGAACACTTTTGGGACCCAAGTGGACTAATACAAATTTTAATTTAGCTGTAATAATATTTATGCATTAAAAGGTTGTACAAAGAAATGTATTGCTTGTCTCAGATAAGCCCTTTATCCTTTTTTAAAAACTTTTTTTGTGGGTACATATTTGCCATGCATAATGAATATATTCTTCTTGGGGCGTTGATACACACGCATACCGTATTCCGCCTTCACCCTCTCACCTCTCCTTCCCTGCTCCCTCTGCCCCGCCCCACTGCCCTGTGTTCTTATTCCTAGTGTGGAGCAGTCGTCAGATCTGCAGGACCAGCTGAAGCACCTGTTGAAGTAGACTGCCGTAGAAGAGGGTAATCGCACTTCTTTGCCTGATGCCAAGGAGGAAATCTCCTGCATGACTGTGGGTTTCATCTTGCATTTTCGTCTCTAAAGTTAGAAAAGATTTGTGTGGATGTAGTCGCTCCTGAAAAGAAGCGACATGGCTGAGTTTTGGAAGCACTTCTTCAATCGGACTCACCTGTGTTCTTGATGAATTTTTAAGTTGCTCTGTTTATTTGTTATTAAAACAAGATCAAAAGCCGTCTTAGTTTTTGCCTTGGATTTTTAATATGTCAAAAACCAATTGTCTAAGTTGACCCCTAAGCAAATGCTGAGTAAAATTTTACATTTAGAAATAGAGGTTCCAGCTGGGCATGGAGCGTGTGTTTGTAGTCCCAGATTGGGAGATTGAGGGAGGAGGATCACTTGAGACAGCATAGTGACATTAAAAAAAAAGTTTCTGTTGTGAGCACAGGAGAATGATTAATGTATGTAAAAACTTTTACTCATTCAGGAAAAATGTTTATTGATGCAGAACAGTGATAGGTATCACCTGTGGTTTTCTAGTTAATTCAGAGGAGATGCTTGCTTTAGCAAATTCCTCAATGAAAATTAGGCAAAAGGCATCGGAACTGTATCTGGCCAGCTGTAGCCCCTTGCCTTGACCTTCATTCCTGAGCTGCCTAGTTGTTACAACTCTTGATTCAGTGACCTTGGTCATGTTGTAACTCTGCTAACCAAGATGCCCTGTGTGTCACTGCCAAGTGCGAAGGGAGCTGAAGTATTGTCAGTGACTGTGGCATGGATTGCTCTACGACGAAAGCCATAAAGGTTGTGGACGTTTACCTACGTTCTTTAGATTCACCTCAGTGACTGTTACTACCCTTATCGACAGTCAAACCTCAGTGTCTTCACTTTAAATTTAAAGTAGGACTCTATCCTGTTCCTGAGTATTTCTTCATTTACTAAGGAATTGAGAGAATATTGACAAACCAAAATTGTATCTTCTTTTTTGATACCAGGCATGGAACTCAGGACCTTGCACTTGCCAGGCAGAGGCTTGTGCCACTGAGCTATATCCTCGGCGTGTCTTTATTTTAGTATATGTGCTGCCAAAGCAAGCATGATAGTGTCTTCATTGATGATAAGAAAGCAAATAAAAATCAGTTCAATGTAATTCATATTGTATAATATTACCAATCACGATATTATATTTATCTCTCATATATACACTTAGTAAAATAATTGTGAAGGATCTGAAAAGGATTCACTTATGCATTAACTCTGTAAACTTTTGTTAATAATTATACTATCAAATGTAAACAAGCTCAATTTATGTTTAAAAAAGAAAAGCCACCAATATAGAAAATAAAACTATGCCTGAGCTGAGTGTGGTGAATACACACCTATAATCCCAGCTCTCAGGAGGCTGAGGCAAGAGGTTCACCACAAGTTCGAGATACATAGTTGAGTTCAAAGCCAGACTGGAATACATAGTGAGTTCAAAGCCAGCCCAGGCTACATATCAAGCAAGACCTTGTCTCAAAAAGAAGAAAAAAACTATTTCAAATAAAACTAAAAGAAAAAAGGAATTTCTTCCTTAAAAAATGTTTAAAAATCCAAGAACCAACCTAATATTTAGTGAAGAAAAAGAGTCACAGACCCTTACAATATTAGAGCTAGACCGGCCTGAAAAACTTACATTCTGGCTCCATGGTTTACAGATGGGAAACACAGACAGGGAGATGCAATGACTTACCCACGTGCATTGAGTTTGAAGTATTTGGATTACAGTCAAGCTTTTGCTATTTGCATTTTTCTTACAGATAGAAGCAAGCGTATCACCTGTCATTTCTAGGCTTTGACATAAAAAAGCAAAAAATCGAGCGCCGGTCTTCCAGCTGGCTTGCTCCCTGCCTCTTAGGCACCCGGGGAGCCACGGGCAGGGAGCACTGGTCTTCCGGCTGGCTTGTTTCCTGCCTCATAGATGCCCGGAAGGAGGGCCCTGGCGCACCGGGAGCCATGCGGCGGTGAGCCCTGTTGCGCGCTGGCCCTCAGGCCGGCCGCGGCCACTCAATTGAGCACTATCATGACACAGAGAAACAATGACACAATTGGCCCACCATGCACCGGCTGCGGATGCCCCTCCATGGACGTGTGTGAATCATTCAAACATGGAAGACATGCCATACAACGGGCCACTCTTGCTCCTGCCATTGAGAACCGGAAAGGTCCAGAGTCAGCAGAGGAGCAGCTGCTGAACAAGGACTCAGAGAACATGAGAATGCAGACTAAGC